CCACTTGTGCTGCGTTGTAACCAAAACCTCATCTGTGGTGTTAACGTGCGGTGTTTGTTTGGCTGTCCTTCGGCTGTAAAATGAGACAATTAGAGCCCTTGTACATGGACTGATCAATACATTTTCCATTAGGAGGGCGCATTAACGGAGCGTTTATTTTTTTCATGCTATCAAAGGGAGGGCGGGGTTTGGTCATCTTTCTGTTCAGATGCGCTGTGGCACTAACATAAATGAAGCATTAACTTTTTGAACTCTTTCAAAGCCTTTCTGTGTTTTCTAAAGTACTACACCGGATGTTTCACTTGAGTTTATTTTTATCGCAACTACAAATGCTGTTGAATTAAATTGTCCCTATAAAATATTAAGAATGTAACTGCTGCATGCAATCAGTAGCCTACATTTCATAAACAGTGGTGAAACAAGTATTCACATCCTTTTCTCCTACCAGTATAATATTAAAATACTCCACTGGGATTAAAACCCTGCAGTTAAGTGTAGTCTGGAAACTGTAAAAAGTACAGCAGAAAAAGTACACTGACTGATATTTTTATATATTTCTGATATTGTTAATACTGATGCATCATTCTAGCTGGTTGAGGTGGCGCTTACATATTATTTGGTAGTTTAGGCCAGTGGTTTCCAGCCTAGGGGCCATGTCCCTCTAAAGGTCACAAGACAAATCTGAGGGGATGTGAGGTTATTAATGGTTTTGATTTTATGAATTTGACTTTATTAATAGGCTCACAATTAGCTGATGGAATGACATCAGATACTCCTCCTGGGGCCTGTACAAAGTTTAAAAACATTAAAACAAGTAAGATAATTACAAACACAGCAAAAGAGGGGAAGCAGGATGAAGAAACAACATTGTTTTGGGAGCCATTTTGTATTCATTTTTGGAATTTTCTTCTTTTTTGTGAAATATTGGCCAGTTTTACTCCTTGAACAGGTAATTCAGATGTGACAATCACTATTTGAATCCCCAACAACAAATTGTAAATAAATAAGACTATCATGTGTATTTTTATGTAAAATCTCAACCTGTAATGTGACTGCTAATTATAGCCTGTCTAGGGCCTTGTAAATTGTATAGCTTAATATTTCCCTCTGAGAGGCATAATATGGAAATAGTCCAGTACAATACCTCAAAATTGTACATAGTGACTTTTTGAATGAGTGGAATAGAAATGAGAACCTGATAGTTTGTCTATAGCCTGGCATTCATAGCTGTTATGTGAGCTGTGTATAGCAGCTTTTTGTCTCTGAAAATGTGATTTCTTTAAGCACTTCTGTGTTTGAACTGAGGTGCTTCACATGCACTCAGACTGCAGTTACACAGCCCATGGGCCCCTGAGAAACACAGATAGAACATCAGTGGATAATAGGAATCACAGTTGTAGTTTGGTCAAATCAAATAAGATACAGTAACTGTAAATGCTCTAGCATCCTGATGGAATCTTCTGCACTTTGCTGTTTTTGTTCCCAGTTCTTAATGTAATACAATGGTAACAGCTTTGTGATTGACAGTCAGTGTGCTCATTTAAAAGGAAGGTTTGATCTTCTGGGACATATTCCCATATTCACATTCCTGCCAAGAGTCCAATGAGAAGCTCAGTACCACTCATATCGGTGCACTAAACATGAAGCTACACCCAGCATGCAGTTAGCATAGACTGGAAAGAAGGGGAAACTGTTAGCCTGGCTCTGTCCGAAGATAAAAACATTCACCTTGTTAATTAGCAGGTTATAGTTCATGTTTAATCAATACAGACCTGAAGAGTAACAGTGATAACTTGCAGTTTTTCAGTGGTTGTGTGTTGAAACTCCATGAAGTCACCTTTTTCAGACAGAAAATAGGCCTAGCTGGCAAAGAACCCAAGTGAAACTGCGGTATATTGTTTGATTGCTTTGTACAGATTTAACAAACCAGATACTGTATGTGTTAATTTGTGATCTTTAGATGTGCTAAGATAACTGGCTGTTAGCTGTAGCTTCATATTTAACTACAAAAATAAGAGTTGTATCCATCTTGTCCTCTGACTTTTGCAAAGAAAGCAAATAAGCAAATACATAATAGGTGATTTCTTCTCATTGAAACCTTTAGGAGTTCAGCTACAGAATATAAACCCCCTGGGACAGTGCAGACCTCAGCAGAGAGTCCAGCTAGATGACAGATTATTTTCCATTGTCTTGTTGCCGTGGTAACTTGCTGAGTTTCACTGGAAAACGCACCCTTGCCCAGCAAGTTTAACCTCTTCTACTTAATCACTTCCCATGCTTGCTGCTCTAATATTGACTGGGCTGTCTGAGAGAGAAACAGCAGTATTTCTTTTCTTTCAGCTCTGGCTTAAAGAACTGGACATGGAAGCCAGAAATCTGAATTTAAACCGGTGACAGCAGGTTTATTGCCAAGGACCGCAAATGTACATAGACAATGATTGTGCAACTGAGTTAGTGAAGCCTGTGAATATTTGTACTATCATTTTATAGCAAAATGTGATTTCCACCCAAGTTACATATTTCCAGTTTTGCAATTGGACATGTCCGAACATGTCCATGAAATCAATCTGCTCTTACACTCAGATATTCCTCTGGTTCCTAGCCTTTGGGAGGAGATGTTTAAAATTTTTCCAGATTCACTGGGCTGAAAAGGCACAAGAAAGTAATTCCTTCAAATGAGTAATAAGCTAACATTACTGAATACTTGCTTTTTAATCTTTTCTATTGCTATGTTAGGGCCACTGAAAACAATCATTTACTGTAACAGAGCTTATTCACAGACAAAATAAACATCTGACAAAACAGTCTTAGCTTAAAGTCCAGTTAATAGCTTTTCCTGGACCTTTCAACCATGTCACATATCTGTCTTCTTCTGCAGCTTGACATGAAAACTAATCTGCATATTGAGGGTTAGATGAGAAGACCGATACCAGCTCATGTTTGTAGGAGCTGTAGCCAGTAGCTAGTCAACTTACCTGACACCATCCAAAGCTAACAATATCAACACCTCTAAAGACCACTGTTTAACACCTTTTAACCTGTTTGATCAATCAGTACAAAAAAATAAAGACTCTACTCGACAAAGAAGTAGCCTACCATATATTCCTTAATATGATTATAATGTGTTTATTTGCAAATTGTAGAGGTGGCAGATTTTGTTACTTTTGTCCTGCATTTACAGTATTTATGCTAAGCTAACATGAGTAGCTGCTGGCTCTAGCTTCGTGTTTAATGCACAACTACGAGGGCAGTACTGATTTTCTCTTGCAACCTCTGGCAACAACATGGATAAGTATATTTCCCAGAAACGATTCCATATAGGATAAAAGTTGCTCATTGATTTAAAAATAGCAGAGACAACATGCTGGCTAAGTAAAGAGATGCAGTGGCACATAACTTAGTTTTTTCCACACTAGTTGACTTGAAGCCAGCCTGTATCCTCCATGTTGTCCTGATATTCCAACAAGCCATACTGTGCTAACAGAAATCTTTAAGATACATAACTGCTGTTCCTGTTTTGCCAAGATGACCACTTAAAGTTTCAGTCAGTCTTTTGCTGGAAGTGTTTATTTTATACAAATAACATACACATACATACCAGTCCTCTGTCACTGCTGAATTCTCTTTGGATTGTTGACTCATTGCTCACTGGGTGTGCCCAGCAGCCAGCGCTCAAGCTCATTTGGCTGTTTCTCTTGCTTCTTATCAGTTTTTGCTCTGTTATAAGAGCAGCAAGCGAGAAGGCCACAACCCAGCAACACTGGGACAGAGCTGTAAGTAAATCTACAAAGCCCAGCGTTTGTTTCTGTCTCTAAAGTGAAATGGCCGATACTTTCTGCCTCATTTTGATCCTTTTTTTTTTTTTTTAGCTCAGATTGTATTTTACTTTGTTCTTAGAAGGGGTTTACTAGCATGAATATCACAGCAGGACCAATTTTGACTGTCAGTATTTTTTCTCTTTTCTCTCAGTCAAGCTACATCAGCAAAGATGGCAAACGAGCTACAGAAGTTTGTAGCAGAGAAGAAGGATTTAGTGGAGACCGTGATGGAGGTTTTTGAACAGGGCGCTGAAGTAGTGGCCAGCATCGCTGGTGACCTCTTCCCTATTTTCTCCATCGCTGCTCCAATTGTTAAGCTGGCTCTGGACAATGTGGAGAGCAAAGAGGCTGCATACATGAAGGAGCAGTTCCAGAAGGTGCGAGAGCGTCTGGAGGTGATCTCCGAGGAGATTCAGCGGATCAACGATGAGATCAAGAAAAATGGAATAGATGCTGTCTATTTCCCAGCAGAAGAGAACATCACTAATCAGTTCAGGAAGTACATGGACATCCTCAATGCAAAACCCAAGTTCAGGGAGGTCAAGAAAAAGCTTTTCCTGGATCATTTTGCCAAGACAGGTGGTGATAAAAACCTTCACATCCTCTACAATGCTGTGACAGGAGACAACTTCTCAGGGGAGTCTGTGCTCGAAATCACCCTGAACTACGAGGAGAAAAGCCGCCGGCCGATGGAGGAGTTCTGTGCCAGGTTGAAGAAGCTCTTCTGCATTGGGCTCATTGCACTGTTGGGCCATGCTGCGCTGAAGGGGTATGATGAGGACGAGGCACTGCTGAAAGACTGGAGTGAGAAGATGAAGACTGTCCAGGAGAAAATGAATGCTGTGATTGAAGACTGCATCGTCAGCTTCCCCAAACAGGCCGAGCTGGATTCTCATCGACTGGTGAGAGACCAGTCACATTTAACCAACCAGCAGTTAGCTGATGCTATCATAGAGAAACTGAAGAAGAAGTATGACTGGGTGGGCTGGTCCGTGCGTATTTTCAGGGCCCCTTCAGGCTTGTTTGCCAACAAGAAGGATTTCCACTGCTCAACAGGGAAGAGCCGCTTCCTGGTCTCTACATCAGATGAGAAACTTAACGTGTGGGTGTCCTACAGCTCCTCACCCGAGCCTGTGGATAAGAATCACATCCAGCAGCTGATCCAGAGTCAGAAGAAACTCACAGTGGTGAGTGTAGCAGAGCTTCTGTTTGAGAAGTTACCTGGTGCCTGCGTGGTTCACACGATCAAAACCACCAAAGACCTGGCCTGCTCCTGGAGCTTCACCGATGAGCTCCACTACTGGGAGGATCACAAAAACTTCTACGTCTGCGTTCACTCCGCCTGAACTTTTAGACACTAAAAAGTCAATTAATGTTTGTAGGCTACTTCGTATTTGCACAAATAATCACTCTATTACTGGCTCTCTTCTTGGCCTTAATAGTGAAAAATTACACTGTATGTGCCTTAAATTCAAGTCTTTTGGATGTGAATTATTCTCTTTTTCTAAAAATGTTTGCTGGGAATTTCTTGCAGACAGGAAGTGCAACCACTTTCTTTCACTCGTAGTAATAATCTTTGTGATGCAGCTGTGCTTTTACCAATATCCAAACTGACAGTGTCTTAGAAATTCTGGCATAAACTCTACTGCTGCATTTTCTACTGTTACAAATGTTGGGACCAAGTGACTGTTTTGTTACAGTAGGATGTGCTGGAGAATGTGTTGATTTAGAGAATCCAGCTGTCACACAGAGATTATATTTTGCTGGTAGCGATAAGCAAGGACCTCGCCCTGTTGAGGACACATATACCGAGTCTACAAGAGAAAATAGCTAGAGACATTTACGGAGACCGTCAAAGAAGCCTTAAAGCTTTTGTTTTGATTTCACTTCTTGTATCATCTGACATGAAGTGTGAACCTTGTTACTGGCTGCTGAACAGCACGAACAAGGTACAAGGGTGAGACTTTATTTACACACCCTGCCACAAACATGTCGAGGTGTAGTGACGGCATCACTTTGTTTACATACACATGCCTGGCATAGCTCTTCTGTGTCGTGTTTTAGTGTGTGTTCTGCACAACACAAAATGGAAACTTAGAGCAAAACCCTCAACTTCATTAACTTTGTACATTTCTAGAGGCTTTAGTTTTATATAGGAATAAACAGCTTGTTGGATTTTGGACAGGGGATTTGGGATCGCTTCCAAATTTGTGTAACCTGACACTGACATTGCACTGTGAGAACAAAATATGTTGTGTACACACCTTTGTGTGCTTCTTCACACCTTGTATACCTGTCTGGTTTGTTTCAAGTATTTTGTGTGTTCTCCTCTGCAATCTGTACATTTCTTCTTTGGTTGTGTGTTGTTTATATGTTATCACCTAATTGCAATTAATTTCTTTGAACATTTTATTATCTGGCAAAACAAGCTATTGAGGGAGCGTGTTTAGGTTGCTCTTTTGTTTTATATGATTTGTGTTTCCACATAGTACATTTGGATTGTCTGTGTCTCAGATTCCAAATCTTTTGGGCACGCCAAAGCAAAGAATGTAATAAATGTTTCAAATAAAGTCATAAATCACTTGTTTTTATATTTTTGTGAATGAAATTGTAAGACACAGACATTTGATACACTGAATGAAGTCTAAGATAATTGAGCATGGTTTTGTGGTTAGTACAGTATGAAAGTAAAATCTGACTAAACTTGTATAAGAGGTGAAATCCATAGATGTTGCAATCAACAGCTAACTGAAGCCTGAAATAAAGCTACTGAAAAAAATTAATAGTGTTATTTATGCAGTTATTGGCCAAAAGACTAACCTCAAAATGTGTGCATTCAATACAATTCAATTCAGTGTCACATGTTCACATAAATTTTAGTTTCCTAAATGGTATGGCATTCAATACTAGGTGAGAGAGAAAGGGTATTTTGATTTTCTGTATGTCCTGCACATATAGTGAATTGACAATAAAAGTCTTTGATCTTGATCTTGATCATGATAAACATCCTGATTAATGTCCCAGAGAGACAGAAGAAATAACTACTACTGTATATCACATCCCACTCCACCAACAGCGTAGACAAAATAGAGAAAAGAGAAAAAAAATTATTTTTGCTTAGCTAGTTTGGAAACACCCATAGTGCTCTGTCATTATGTGGTTGTGGTTTTTCTATCTTTGGTGCATAAAGACTCATTTCCCTGCAGTATATGACACTTGTGGATCAAGTGCCTCAACAGAAATGAACAAGTGTAGCAGAAAACAAGTGGGTCAAAAGTTGTTGTCCAAATGTATTTTTAGACATAAAATTTGTTTTGTCACTGTACATGACAAAGTTTATACATAAACATTGGTTTAAAATTTTGTTTAATATTTGCATTTCATTATTTTGACTATATATTCAGAGGAAACACTGTGACTGTTAAACTGAAAGCACCCACTACCCACAGTGCACAGAGATTAACCCTCCATCACAGTGAACCCAACATAAATTTGGCTTTTGACCTTTCATGATAGCACAAAAATAGCCAAATAAATCAAATGTACAGCAAAGGAGCCATTTACACAGCTTCATCACATAATTCTTATGACAAAAAGGAAACAAATATTGTTTGTGGTGATGAGCTGTCCAGTTCACTAGAGACCACGCTGCTTTGTCTGTCATGCTAAATAGATGTTGTCCACTGCACTGGATCCCAACCCCAGACCCCAGATGATAAAAAAAACCCTGTTCTTTTACTATTTTCTAGTGAATTGCTCAGTAGTTTTACAGTACATAAAAAATATTCAAATTAGCCACTCAGCGAAGGTAAAATTCATGCTTTTCTTTAAATATTATGAGAAGTGGGTTGAATTTGATTAGCATGGTTTATGAGGGTGTTGAAGTTTGGGAACCTGTGGTTTAGTCTATATGAGTTCACAGTCAAGGTCATTTAATCATTTTATATAGCTCTTTATCACAAGCAAGTCTCAACAGACTTAAAGGAAGAAGAAGAAAATCTGACCAGAAGAGAAAGAAAAGAAAACCTGACTGTGATACCCCAAAATCCTCCTGAAATACCCTCAAAGAAAAGCAATATTGCAGAACATGTAAAATGTATAATAACATGGACAATGGCAGGAGAGAAGAAACCCAACTGAGAGACAGGATTCTGTCCCAGCATAAGAAATTCTAAAGAGCAGGAACTTTGGCTCAGACTGTGAAAAGCGAACCTGGCTTACAGAGGAGACAGACCCTGCTGTCTAGATACCTGTTTGCCAGTGGAACAAGACTGAGATGGATTTTAAACTTTCCCTTTGCTTCTTAAACCAAATTTCCACTGACCCGCCTGCATCAGCGCTCACTGAGCTAAGGCCCACATACTGCTTCATCAGCAGTTCTGAGAGAAACAAATGAGCCTGAAAATGATCAACACTGACAAACATTTGCAATATTGGAAGAGGTTTGAGAATAACTTGAATATATTTTAAACCAGAAATGATTTGGTTTTTGGCCATTTGGGGAAGTCAGAAACAAACTGTTAATACAATGCTGACATACAATATATGGTGAACTTGTTAGTGCCATTTTCCTATTTAAACATCCAGCAGACCATTAGCATTGATGGGGAGACATGTTTCTTTGCCAATATTCACTCTCTTTGTAGCTTTATTTTGCTCTCCACAAATAGGGAAGGAAATACCTGCTGGCTGCCTAATGTTCCAAAGTCTCTAGCTAGTCTCCAACGTAGTCTGTGCACAGTTTTGCACTTAGCAGTTTTTGAAGCTGGTTGTATTTCTTTCTTTCTTTCTTCTGGAATCAGCTCTCTGCCACCATGTGGCCAAACATTTCTCTAATACTCTCTAATAATCAATGTTATGGCATTAGCTTCAAATAATTTGAGTTATGCCTTTTACTCTGTCTTCAAACACTATGTTTTCACTCCACCTCTTGGTCCCCTCCTTCACCACTGTTACTGTGATCCTCTGTCCTCCTTCCTTACATACCAGTGTCTGAGCAAGACCCAACAAGCCTCTGTGGAACTGCTATTTGACAGAGACGCTTAAGATGTATCACAGTTAGGTCTGGTATTATTTTCTAAATGCATCCTGAGGCTTCTTTCAGATGTGTTCATACCTCTGGCCTTTGAAACACTGTGCGAGCAGAGACTTCAATATCTGTATTGCACTGGAAATCAAAAAATGACTCCAGCACAAACTATGCTAAGCCTTAAGTCATCATCTCCACCTCTCCTGTATTTCAAATGACTCCAGACTAGATTCACTTCCACTGTGGGAGCGAAACAACTGTATGGTCAAAAGTCTGACTCTCAGTGTGTTCTCGAGCAAAGCTCCTACCTCCCAACTGTTCCGACGCTGCATATATACAGTCAGCAGCTAAATAACACTGTTCTGAGTATCGTTTTTAATGTATCACTCACAGCAATGCTTTCTTTTACAGACATGCTCTAATACCTAAATTAAAACAGAGAAGCATGTGAATTTATCACCATGAACATTTCACATGAATCCATACAATGTGCTGTGCTTGTGAACCGATCAACCTTTTATGCCCTGTTCATCAGTTTAACTAATGTAAACACACTCAAAAAGCCATTGATAGCTCACATGTAGGTGTTTCCTAGTCCTAGTCTTTGTTTCAAAAGACCTGTCAAACAATTTGTGAGTGATATGATCTTCCAATTCAGTGATTTGAACTGTGGCACTAGGAGCTGTACTTTTAAATACTGGTTACATCAGTAGTACATGATACACCTAGACATACCAGTAGCTACTAGGTCACTCCTTATGTTTGTAACTGTATTGTGCAACAGGAATTCAACATGAATCAACAAGTATGTTCAAGGCACCTGTTTTAATTTTAATGACTACTGTTGGCTGCACAGAAACAGGACAGGTGTCGTTGTCACGTTCAGATTATTTCTTGGTCCACAGCTTCTGAGAATAAAACTCCAGTTCTGAGAAAAAGTCTGGCACTGAAAATGTCCTTATATGATTCAATCTGGCAGTAGGTTAAAGATAAAGATTCTCTTTTCTCTCTCTGAAGTTAGTTTCCCAGCAGTCTCACAATCCCACAGTTTCCTTTCAGCTCAGTGGAGTTATTTTAAAACTACACATACATTCACTGGCCACTTGATTAGGTACACATGCACAATTGTATGCAGTTTAAAGCAGCATTTCCACCTTAAAACCTTTGTTTATGAGGCTCACAGTGTTTCAGTTTTGGTGCAATTGTCATAAATGTAGAAATTCAATAATATGTTTATTGTTGACGTCATAAAGTAGTGCTGTACTGGACTATATATACACTCAGAGGTGTCTCTATCTTTTTGTCCTCCCTAGCTACATACAGGAGATGGTCAGAATATTAGGAACACCTCTAAATATAATGACGTCCAGTACATACCACCACCACCAATACTACCTTTAACTATGACCTCAATAAACATATAATTGAATGTATACATTTATGACAATTTCACCACAAAACGAAACATTTTGAGCTTCATAAACACAGATGTTAAGGCAGAACTGTTGTATTGAATTGCATACAATTGTAAAGGTGTGCCTAATAAAGTGGCTGGTGAGTGTAATTTAGAAACACAACAGTCATCTGGGATGGAATTTGGATTTGAGTGATATAAAAAAAATCATGGTTGGTACCTAAATATGCTCAGATGTGTTAGTTTGATGCACTGTGTAACTTTGGGCTGATTACATTTTAGTTTAGTTTGGATGATAGCTGGAAATTAATAAGGTAAAAAAAAATCAGGCTTTTTGTATTTAACTGCCACAAATACTGTATCTACATTTCTAATTTCCATTATTTAAATTCAGTACTCATTTCCAAAATCATTTATCCCAGCAACCACAGGGCCAAGTTTCATACTGCATGAAATCAAGCTTGGGTATGTTGGTAAATACGTTTCTGCAACGGTTTCTTCTAATGAAACATGTTACATGTTAAGCAGGAAATGAGAAGATCACTACAGACCCCTCACACCCAGGACACAATCTGTTTGAACTCCTCCCCTTTGGACGGCGTTACAGGTCACTGTGCACTAAGACAACCAGGCACAAGGACAGTTTCTTTCCCCGGGCTGTCGCTCTGATGAACACTTAACCAACAGTATACTGCTGCCTGTGTATACTGCTTATTTTGCATTGTTTGCACTGTTTGTTGCTTAATAATACTGCTGATTTATGTTGGTTTACTGTTTAATTGCCCCTTGCATGTGGCTATGTAATTACACATTGAGAGCCGATGTACCAGAGTCAAACGCCTCGTGTGTCTGACACACCTGGCCAATAAAGCAGATTCTGATTCTGAAATGTGCTGAACGTGTAAACTGTTTGTGAAGTTAAGAGAATGAGCACCACCTAGTGGGAAACACTGTTATCACATGCTGAAGAAATGGATGAAAATGAAATCACATGCAATGAAGACCAGGGAGGTACTTTATTTGAAAATGTGTGTCACAAACTGAATCAAAGAATGTGATAAGAAGAGATTCAACACAGGAGGCCTGACTAAAGTAAACAGTTGGATGTGGAGATCTGTAACATCAACAGCACCGCCAGTATGACCCATGGGTTGTGGAGGTGTTGAATGACAAATGAATAAAAGATGATACAGAGTGGATGTCAAGTAAAGGCAGAAAAAGCAGGCATCTTTGTGAGGCTGGACATAGGCACAGTGGAGCTTTGAGCTAAATACTAATGTGAACAACATGTTTATAATGTACTATGTTTCCTGCTCACTATCTTAGCACAACACGCTGGCATGTACCGAATACGGCTTAGGCTGATAGATATTTCATAAATTTTTCACGTACTAACTTGCCCAAAGTATTGGACAAAAATGTCAACTAGATGATGGTGCTAGAGGGAAAAGTGTCATCAGAATTATTATAGTTCACTGATGGATGTAAAACATCCACAATGTCTGTACAACAGTTGGAGCTAGAAGAATAGTCAGGAAATGACCAAGTTCATAGATTACTGTCTGGGAACCACAAATGCTAATCTCATGCTAGCACTAGAATACAAGGGACCACCAAAGTCAGTAGATTCGGCCTCATACTCTGGAACTTATATGTCTTTGTGTTTTTTTTGAAGTGATTTCAAGCTCAAGGACTGGCCAGGAGGACTTCATTCAACACTGGCTCATCATGCCAGCCACTCTGCTGACACAGAATAAAAACGTGACAACAAAGTTGAGAAGTTTACAGTTTTAACAGAATTTATTTTTGTTCATTTATATTAACTAGATGTAAAGCTACAGTATGTAACTTTTTTAAAAATATTTTTTGCAGAAATCTGCTCCAGACCTTGTCTTAATGTGGAGAGGTGCTGTTGAAGCCTCCTGTGCCCCAGACCCATTGAACAGCACTGGCAGCAGTGCAGAGACATTAGCTTCTAAAAGGTTTTGAGCATGATTGACCCCTTTAACCAGCCAGAGATGTTCAACTATTTCTGCTTGATCAGGAAGTTTTGTTGCATTCTCATTTCATAACAATTTGGAGTTTTATACTAGTGCTACCATAAGTTACATACTGTAGCTTTAACTTGACACCTTAACATAGTATTACTCATGTTACTAACAGTACTACTGCTACCGCTTACACCGTACATCTACCTCTAACACTATGCCAAGCAGCTTCTAGGAACACTATAACAACTAACATTCATATATATTTTTATCATGAGTTTGTGTGTTGTCTTGTTTCATACCTCTTCCTTGCTGCTTTTGACCAAAGACATGGTGCCAAGAAAAGCTAAACAAATGCAGACACACAGTTGGAGTACAGCCAGGATGATCAAAGTCATGTCCATGCATATCAGCAGATCCTGATGGAAGATTTAAGCCATAATCTCACTTTAAAATGTTAATATTGATGATTTACTCAGTACAAATAGTGAAATACAGAGGAATATTGCCAAAGTCATTGACATGCATTCACATAAATGCATGCACATAAATCACAAAATAAACATTAGGACATTCTGAGAGGTATATAAGAAGTAAAGCACTAAAGAAACAACCAAATGTAGGTCAAACTAAAAACAACAGTGATGTCACCTTAAGCCCTAGAAAATTTCATGGATACTTTTCACAATGCAGGCTTTCATGTGTCTTGCACTGAGGAGAGGCGTCCGTTGGGCCACTCTGCCATAAAGCCCCGACTGGTGGAGGGCTGCAGTGATGGTTGACTTTCTACAACTTTCTCCCATCTCCCGACTGCATCTCTGGAGCTCAGCCACAGTCATCTTTGGGTTCTTCTGTACCTCTCTCACCAAGGCTCTTCTCCCCCAGTAGCTCAGTTTGGCCGGACGGCCAGCTCTAGGAAAGGTTCTGGTCGTCCCACATGCACGGTGAGCTGTAGTGTCTTATATAGACAGGTGTGTGGCTTTCCTAATCACGTCCAGTCAGTATAATCAAACACACCTGGACTCAAATGAAGGAGTAGAACCATCTCAGGGATGATCAGATGAAATGGACAGAGCCTAAGTTAAATATATGAGTGTCACAGCAAAGGGTCTGAATACTTATGACCATGTGATATTTCAGTTTTTCTTTTTTAATAAATCTGCAACAATGTCAAAAATTCTGTGTTTTTCTGTCAATATAGGGTGCTGTGTGTACATTAATGAGGAAAAAAATGAACTTAAATGATTTTAGCATATGGCTGCAATATAACAAAGAGTGAAAAATTTAAGGGGGTCTGAATACTTCCCGTACCCACTGTATCACCAAGAGAAACTTGGGGGTTGAGTGTCCTGCTCAAGGACACTTCAACATGTGGACCGCAGAAGCTGAGAATCAAACCGCCAACCCTCCAGACCGGAGACAACCCGCTCTACCTCCTAAATGAAACTTAAACTGATTCAATTTCTCTGTCACGCTTTAAGGTTTCACAGCACAAATACAAACAACAATGAAACATGTAACAGTCAATAATTTTGATATCTTTATTTTTTTTTAAATGGCTTAATATTGAAAAAAGTGAAAAAAACCCTCCAACAATGCCACACACACATCCATCAACCTCCTCTTCACCTACAAACATACTAACTGTAAGGTACATTACTGAGAAGAAAATCTTAATCAACATAAAATGAATTAAAATGCAGGTTTCAACCCAAAGTGCCAAAAGTCTAAATGTGAATGTTTTTAATAAACCCTTGTAAGACTTCACCAGCCAAGTTTGTTTGCATTTATTCCACTGACTGTTTGCAGTGTAAAAGCAGAGGATTACGCTTCCTAGTGCCTAAACCACAAACAAGACATTCATTTAACCTGCAGGGTTACTGGTTGGTGACTTCCTCCAGCAGTGGTTTGTAGCACTCTGGGTCAGCAGTGCTCTAAAAGAGAGAAATATATCAAATAAGTACAGACAGCGTGATCTACCTACACCATTTCAAGTAGGAATTGTTATTTTAATTTTACTCCATATTTTTGTAACAACTTTCTCTTTTGAATCTAGGCAGATTTTACCTTGCTTTCTCCCTTCTTTATGCTCCTCAGAGCCTTGATCCCCAGGATGACAGAGCTGATGGTGAGGCAGAGCTCCAGCACCGACAGGACAATCAGTACAATACTGATGCTTTGTAAAAGCATCTGGTAGGACAAAAAAAAACAAACAAAAAAAACACAGAGTTACATTTAAAATATTAGTACACATGTGTTGTTTTCATTTAGACTGAATAAAATCTATACATTTTGTTTTTAAATCACACATTTCAGTCAAATTTGGTTTTGAGTTAAATTTAGGGAAGAAACTTATTTTTACAGAAAGATAGTACATTCATCATAGGAAAAACATAGTGGATACCTGTGTCAGCGCAAACCTCCGCCAAGGGAAAGTCAGTTTCCCCATAATGCCATTACGCCTAACAGCAATGACCCCATGATAGTTTGACCCTCATAATGTGATTGCTTGACCATGAAAACATATTGCTGGCATTTGAAATGACACTGATATCATTATTAGTTTTAAAGTTATTCAAGAAAAACAACAGACATGATAAACATTCACTCGTTGGTCTAGGGGAAAAACAGGGACTTCACTGAGTGGGCGGCAGGCAAAGAGGTGAAGACGACACATTACTGCAAGTTTATGTTGTGCTTATTCTCCCTCTGCCCCAGCTGTGAGTGTGTGTGTGTCCTCTAAACAGAGACTGACACAACAAAATATACAGTGGAAAAGCAAAGTAGGACAGTCACGTCAACCAGGTTAACCCGGGAGACGGTAAGGAGCACGGGGTGTATCACTTGTTAGGTTCTGACAGTGGAAACACAGCTATAATGCGCAGCTGGCACATCAGCGTTCTTGCTGACACACTACTGTGCTCTGAATAAGATGTAGCTGCCTGCTAATAGAGCTAGATGGAATAAAAGTGGATTAAACCAGGTAGCACCACATTCCCTCTGTCTTCTCAAAGAGCAAGGACCAATACCAGCTTAACCATTTCTCAAAACTGCGAGTATTTTTATAATTATGAGACACAGACATCATAAGGCATCCTTTTTTCCTTGGTGAACCACAGGCTTCTGTAATTTATCTACTATTCTGTGAATTTTTTTCAGGCAAATTGACAAATCCATTTTTGTCTACAAATTGTAAAAAGACCTGAGCCCAAGGTAAAATACAAAAATATTCAGTTTACAACTATATAAAGAAGACAAAAGATGAAAATCCTCACATTTAGAAGCCAAAGCCAGCTCATGTTTGGCATTTTTAGTTGACAAATAAGTTAAACAATTAACTGAATAAAGAATCCACAGTTTGTCACAGTTACCCTAAAAGGTTTTTGGGGATGGAGCTGTTTGGCTGACTTTATATACACTGCTGTTTCAAATTTATAGAAGAAAGTATGCCCACCTCTGATGCTAAAGTACTCAGAGGTTAGTCTTGGGAAGACTGAAGTACAGGAGTACAAAGTATAATGAGAAGAGTAAGAGCCCACAGTTTGCCACAGTTATCCAAAAAGTACAAGGCGCCCACACTTGCATGTTGCTATTTTGTGCTGTCATGCAATTGTTTCTTACCCATCTCAGATCTTGGAACTCCAAGCATCTCTCCACCAGGATCTCCTCTTGAGGAGATGGACTCGGTGTTGTTCGGTGGTAGTAGTACCCGTAATCCCTGTCACGTGTACATTGCCACATATACACGTACATATTACTGCTGTAGACAACGATGTCTGCGATGGCAAAGCCAACTCCCGCTAGATTCAGAATCACATTGATGATGACCTAAAACAGAAGACATGTCAGACAACCAAAAACACCACCACACCATGTGTGATGTTACATGTAACAAGTGCAAAATGATCACCCATTTTACTTGTGTTGTAATAAAACTAGAATTAAAGAGGACAATCAAATTTTAACCATGAGGATGTTGTAAAACTGCTCTACCTACCAGACATGGACTGGGGTACTTATCGGACAAAATGCACACGGCACCCACCAGCAGAAACTATAGAGACAAAATATTTGAACTTTACTCGTACACACAAACACTAAATAAAAAAAGCATATATGTTATTTTGAGCACCATGTGGGCAGCTATGTAGCAGCCCTTATCATGCACTCACACCGGCAGAGACAAGAAACAAAGCAACTGGTACTTGTTAATTTCATCTGAGAAGTAAGAGATAAAGAAGCCCAAGAACAAACATGACATAACATGCTGATGTTTAGCCATTTGTTTACTAAGTTTACTTTTTTGACACACTGTGTGTTCGATGTGGGGGGCTTACAAAGCATGAGGTGATCCTACACAGAGAGGCCTGTGTGTCGTGTTCGATGTGGGGGGCTTACAAAACATGCCGTGATCCTACACAGAGAGGCCTGTGTGTATTTCCTGCAGTAAATGAAATACATTCTTATGGTGCACTGCCTCCACCAAGACTGCAACATGTCACTGGCTGCAATTTGGCCATGCTAGCAGTAAGCATTGGTAGGAGCAAGAAAGAGCTTGCAAGCAGTGTTGTTCAAGAAAAGATTTGTCCATGTATACATATGTAAATTTTGGACTTGTGTTATAACAAAAAGAAAGAAAGCACTAGCTTGCTTACCATTGCTCCCAACCAAAAAGGGTCAGGCCCACGGTGGTTGTTAATCACTGCAAGCCCAATAGTGAGCGCCCCAACCATAATCTGCAGAGCCTGTGGAGGAGTAAATGCAGTATGAACAACAAACACATGTACATACAGTATAACTACAGTTATACAATGACACTGTGTATTACTGGACAAAATAATTGACTGTAATGTGTTTATGGTAACAGTGTGTAGCCATAAAACATGGTCAATGCATCCATGGTGTGCTTTTAGTTAAGTCAGTCCACCAAAAAGCTTCAGTTCACTGAGCAATCTGAAACACGTATGGTTGTAACTCACCCCCAGTACTGTCTGAGATGCTCTCTGGACCCCCCTAATCTGCTGAGACACACTGCAGCACAACGGGTTGTAGCAAAGGGCCTTGAGGATTTGACACAGTGGAGGCCAAGTACTTTTGGTGTCTGAGGTCAAAGTGATCACAGTGACCCCATCAGCGTTGGTCATGGCAATGGACATCCTGCCTGCTCTGGAGACTGAGACAGATCAGACAATACATAAACTTTAATTTAGGGTCATTCGGGTCAAGGTTGTTGTTGCCGACTCTTTAAATTAAATAGGTGCTAAATCTTCAAGTACGTCTTCGTCACCTATTCCCCCTGATTACACACGGCGACTCCCAGCCACCATCTGCACTGAGCGACAAACACGTTAAGTAGTGATGGGTCCGGCAACACCGATGCGTCGCCACATGCGTCGAGCTCGTAGAGCAAAACCCCGTGTCGGTGAGGCTGTTGGTAAGAAAGTCATGTGACCGATAAAGGAACTGTTTCGAACTGACACTGCCGCGCGAAACTGTGTTTATAAGGAAGCGCATATGTCAACAGGATGCATCTGCCAACGAATCTCTGATGTTTTGCGGTTCATCGTCACATTCATCAAGAATTATGGAGCAGCCTCAAGCCAAAAGATAGGTTTCCTCCGTGTGGGACCATTTAGATCTCATATCGGAAAATAAGGTATTTGTTTTAATTTCCTTGTTGTTTCATTCTGTTCCTCTCAGAGTTCCCACTTGATCTATCTGAATTCAAATTCATTTCAAAGTGACTCTGAGTTTACTATTCATATTATTTTCTGCAGGTTAAATGTCGCATTTGTTCGACAGAACTTTCCTACTTAAATAAATCCA